AGGGCTGCTGGTAGGTGCTGGGCAGTGATGCTGGGTGGTGGCTGGGCGGTGCTGGGTGGTGCTGGTCGGTGGTGCCGGGTGGTGGGTGGTGCTGGGCGGTTCTGGGTGGTGCTGGGTGGTGGTGCTGGGTGGTTGGTGCTGGTTGGTGCTGGGTGGTGGTGGTGCTTGAGTGGTTGCTTGTGTCCATGTTTATCTGGGCGCTTTTTTTTCCGCATGTTACTGGATTACGTGTCACTGTTCTTGGTTGTTTCATTGTTTATAGTTTGCCGCTCTCACAACAGTTGCTGCAGTTGAGCTGTTGCCCTTGTGCCATGACATTTGCAGCCTTGGCACCTACCGGTATCTGGGAGCATTTGCTGATTGCTGAGAGTGTTTGTTCCGTGCATGCGTGGAATGTGTATCTTCTTCACGTGTTGCAGACGGGCATTTCCTCTGGTGCAGCAGTGGTGGCAGCCATTGAAGTTGCGAAGAGGCCTGAGAATGCCGGCAAGCTTGTCGTGGTGAGTGTTTGCAATGAGCATGCTCGGAAATGTGCCATCTTGTCTGACAAAAACATTGCAGTGCTTTTTTAAAGTTGTATCATTTTGCGTGCTTGATTTTGAAGCCACATTTGCCTTCAATGCCCTTTCCTTGGGGATTCTGTAGTATTCCTTACCTCCATCAATTCCTTCCCTTTTCAGGTGGTTCTGCCCAGCTTCGGAGAGCAATACCTGTCTTCTGTTCTCTTCTCTGACATCAGAACCAAGGCCGAGGCTATGACCCCTGAGCAGGCCCCTAGATTCGTTTTGAGGTAGTCTGACGCCTCAGAGTACACCCCTCTTCCTAGTCTGGCTGTCAGAGTTACCTATTTTTTGTAGTCTGAAAATTCAGACAACACTACGTCTTTTACGCTGAACGTTCAGAGTTAAACACAATTTCCGTTTTGTCTTAAACTGAAACATAGAATAACGAGATTTACAGCTCTGACAAGGCGAATCTCTACTCTGACAAGGCGAATCTCTACCCTGACAAGGCAAATCTCTGCCTAGGCAGGGCGAATCTTCGCCCTGACAGTTTGAATCTTCACCCTGACAGGGCGAATTTTCGCACTTCGCTCTGTACAGGGCGAATCTCTTCGCTCTGTACAAGGCGAATCTTCGCACTTCACCCTAGGCAGGGCGAATCTCTTCCTTGACAGGGCGGATTTTTGCCCTGACAGGTTGACTCTTCGGTGTGATAGAGGGCAAAAGTGGTGTGACAGGGCAAGCGTGTGCCCGAAGGGCCCATCTGACGCATCAGGGGGTTCAAAACCTAGCGAGGACCCTGCTCGGGAGTTTGCGGTGCCGCGCTCGGGAAATTTTGGTTTCCCGCCCGTGATTGACGGTGAGTGCTACACGCCACCAGGCTGGCGGAAACCGCTGTATTACGGGTTTCAGGGCGTACCCCCGATACAAGTATGAGGCTCAGCCTACACTAATAAAATTAGACTGAAATTTCAGACAACTCATAAAGCAAAACTTTGAAAAATCAGACAAGGTACATAAAGATATTCTTAGACTTCAGACTAGGTACAAAAAAAAAGTCTGAACGGACTCTGAATCAGACTACAAAGTCTGATATCTAGGGCCCTGCCCCTGAGGTGTAAATCTGCTAGGTCATTAGCTGTCTTCTGTTCTCTTCTCTTACATCAGAGCCAAGGCCGAGGCTATGACCCCTGAGGCTATTACCGTATCCCTAAACTAACTGAATGATTATCGCAACATGTAGTCATTCAGGTGTTGGGTAGAAATGGAATGTGTTATACGATACGAGCAGGGCTGATTTTATCAGGGTAATTACCCTGATTTCAGGGTGATTTCAGGCTTTCCACTTCGTGGAGACTGAAATTTCAGAGTTATTGAATTTCCAGCCCTGATCCAATCAGAGTAATAGTTTAGCTATCCCTGATTTTGAGTACAGTGTAACAGACTAGGCTGTTAGTGGACCCTGACTTAACAGAGTATCGACTGTGTGGACCCTGACTTATCGAGAGGAAGTGTCTCGGAAGTTTCCTTCCGATGACCCCGCCTTGGATTGATCGCAGTGATCCCCCCACATGTGCGTAATCCCCCCCCTTCCCGCTTCATCGAGACGAAGTTTCGTTCTGATCGAAACTTCGAGACTATATGGAGAGTGGGGATATTTTGCCCGACTTATCGCAACGAAGTTTTTCGGAAGTTTCCTTCCGATGACCCCGCCTTGGATTGATCGCAGTGATCCCCCCACATGTGCGTAATCCCATCCCTTCCCGCTTTATCGAGACGAAGTTTCTTCGAAACTTCGTTCTGATCGAAACTTCGAGACTTTATGGAGAGTGGAGATATTTTCCCCGGTAAAAAAGCGCGCGTTACTACTCTGATGTTCAGTTCTCGACCCTGAACAATCAGTGTTAACTACTTTACAACCCTGAGCAATCAGGGTACTGCTTTTCTGGAAAATGTGCACCCATAATAGAGGGGGAAAATTTTCCCCAAAATCAGGGAAGCTTAAAATGAAACGTCAGCCCTGGTATGATACGAGCCCAACATTTGGCACATGCTATATACCAACCCCAAGGTGTTGGAGGACCACCACTTTATTACAGACGTGAGTGAGTGTTACAGTTAGATGATATTAAGCATGTAGGGCCAATAATATTGAAGATTGGGAGGAGTAAGTAACAGGGTATGAAATTTCACACAAAATGGAGGTATCATGAGAGCGTGCTTTCTTGTAAGGCCTACGCAAAGCATATCACCTGATGCAGCCAACACTAACGAGTCTGATTATGGAGACGCTTAAACATATCTCGTCTCAACCCATGAACGTGTTACCAGAGGTGCCCCAACTTTGAACCTTCTGAACAGGGGGTACCTCTCCTCCCACCAAGACTGCGAAGGTTCAGGTGTCACAAATGACGTCGTACTGAAGTGGCTCCAAGAACCGAGCCTCCTGACACCATACCCAATGTGATAAAACCATAGCAAACCGCACTGGAAACTCTTGTAAGACGACTGCTGACGTGTAAACTGGGGAACAACCTGCTATTTCATCACTACCATCGTCACAAATCAGCTGGCTTCAAAGCGATTCACTGCGATTGAATACGGGTTTCAGGTGATGTATTCAGGTCAGGTTTAGCAATCAGTCTCATTCCCCGAAGCGCTCTGCGGCCATGGAGTTTCCGTCGGGAGGGCGGAACTAGACCATTGGACCTTGGGATTTCCGCATCCGTCAGGACTCATGACTCACGACTGACTGACATCACGACTCACGTCTCATAACAAGTCATTCAAACACGGCAGTTTTCTTGGATTCAGGTCATTTTGCGAACCTCTGTCGCTCATTCGGCCCCTCATTCTCTCCGTCATTCTGTCCGTCGTCCTGCCGTCATTTTCCTGGATCATCCGTTTTCCAAGAATGCTATCTTGAACGAGATAGTAGCTTCTGCGAGCTAGATAAGCGCATCGTCTCCCGAGGTCTTTATTCAACGCATTCCGAGATTCTCGACGACCTTCTTCGATTGTGTGCGTATCAGAAGCGCGGAGCGTACCAACCATGGCTATGTGAGCTTGGTATCACTGAGCGCCACCGCTAGCGTTGTAGCGCCACCGCAAGTGCGCCACCGCTATCACTGAGTAGCATACCGTGTGGTTCTTCTACGGCACGCAGAGGGATGGCCGCGACTGAAACCTTCGCAACCTTCACTGCTCCTGGCAAGCCCTAACGGTATAATGGAAGGAGAGCGACCGCCTCTGTCAACAAACCCTGACGGTGTAATGGAGGGAGCGCAACCGCCGCTTCGACCTCACGCCAGGATGCGGGAAGAGCAATCTCCGGCTGCGACTGCTTTTCAGCCCCCCGCGACCGGCGCTCAGGCCATTCCGACCGACTGCGGCGTCGCGCGCTGTGTCTCGACTCAAAACACCCCTTCTGAGCGATCGCCGGCGGCGGCGAGTGCCACTCAAGTTCAGCAAGCGTCCGACGCTCAGGCCCTTCCGACTGACTGCATCGCGCGAATCCTCTGCCTTCTAGCGAACGCCGCGCACGTGGCACGAGCAGGCGCCACGTGTCGCTCGTGGTGGCGCTGCTACAGGGACGTGGTTCGCCCGTCCGTCTGCCACGTGTCACTCGCGCTGAACCCGCTTTCGCTGGAATGGGAGCCGTTGCTCAGACAGCCTCTGTTCCGTCAGTCGGTATTCAGTCGGCTTCCTTTCCGCCGGAACGTTAGTCCAGATTCAGTGAATCAGCGGCTGGATTTCACCGGTTCTGCTGCGACAGAGGGAGGATTTAATTCGCCCCTGGATGGCCAGGACGCGAGATGCTGCTTGGACGAGCTTCAAACGTCGCTTTCATTGTTCGAACCAGCTAGAGCCGACAACTCGTTGGATGCTGCGGCTGCTTATAACGAAGCAACAGCTTCTCTGCCTTCCCTGGCATCGTCTGGCGACAGATTGGGCTCGTTACCTTCACGCTCCCTGGCGCTATCCTCGTTACTAGACGTGCTTCGACTCGATACAACTCCGAGTACCAGATCCTGGCCTCTGCGCCGCGTTGCTTCATTGCTGCGAAACGTCCCACAGCTCACATCCCTCCACCTCCCGTTTCTGTCACATCTCGGCGCTGACTCGTTTCTGTCACCTCCATCTGAGGAGGGCACGGGCACCGGACGTGACTATATCGATGCCGTCTGCTGCCTCGTTGCACGATCGTGCCCGTCCCTTCGCCATTGTCACGTTCAATTGGGCCAGCAGGTGGAAGGAGGCAGAAAGAGCCGCCGGCACCCGTTGGTACAGGTCACAGGCGCACGCTCCCAACCTCCTGATACAGTCACTCTCCCCTCCAATCACAGAGAACGAATCTTCAATGCCGCTGCTGAGAACGATCAAAACCCGACTGAGAACATTGGGGATTTGGAGAGGACTGGTGAGATTGACGATTCCAATCAATCAACTGGCAACACCCAAAACCCAGAATCTCGTCCAGGTGCGGTTCACGGCCTCATGCGATTGCTCCAACGATGCTCACACCTCACTTCCCTCCACCTCCTCGGCTCCCACTCCTCCTTCTCCTCTTCCTCCTCCCCCCTCTCTTCCTCCTCCTCCACTTCCTCCTCCTTCCCCTGTCTCGACTTCGCTCCATCACTCGACCTTACGCCTTCCCACAACCAATCGCCCACCACCATTCACCTCCCTCTAAGCATCATCCCTCTCCTCTCCCGTCTCTCCCACCTCTCGCTCTCACTCAAAACCATCCCTCCCTCCCTCCTCCCCTCCGTCCCGTCTCTCAAATCACTAACCCTCCACGTGTCAGACCCCTCTTGCGCCGTCACCTGCTCCTCCGCCCCATTCAGTCACCTCTCGTTACTATCACATCTGGAGCTGCAAATGGGCCCTGATTGGGCGAAAGCCTTCCCAGTCCCCAGGCTCTACGAAAACATGTTTTCCGGGCTTCAAGACACTCTCACCTCCCTCGCTCTCACCCTCCCGTTTATGGCACACCTGCCACTTTCGTTATGGGAACTAACTGCTCTTCGCTCACTCTCCATCCGCAACCCGGCGTTCCACCCGGGCGTGCAGAGGCACGCGTACGTGGCAGGCGTGGCTGGGTTGCGGCATTTGTCCTGTCTGCAGCTGCTGGGTCACCCGGTGCCCGGACTGATGATGGCGGCTCTTGGTGGAAACCACCTGGAGACAACAGCAAGGGATGGGGTAGGAAGCGATGGGGTGGAGCAACAGCAGCATCATCAGCCGCAGGAGGAACAGCTAGGGGTTGGTGGGAACGAGCAGCAGCAACAGCAGCAGCAGCTGACTGGAAACCAGCAGCTGGAGCAGCTTCGCATGTCCCGAGGCGCTTTAGCAATGCTGAAAGCACACCACCTCGTTGGCCCTGCTGCTCATCCTGCCCATCCTGCTAATCCTGCTGCTCCTGCTGCTCCTGCTGCTCCTGCTGCCAATGCTGCACCTACTGCCCCTTCTGTCCCTGCAGCAGGTGAGGGGGCGGGTGAGGGGAGGCGGATTGCGGAATTGGAGGTGGACGGGGACTTGCTGGTAGCAGCAATGAGAGGAGGTGCCTCTCTGCCTCCCTCCCTCACCGTCCTCTCTGTCACCCCCTCGCCAGCTGTCGCTCCCTCCTTCCTCCCCCAATCCGTCCGTCTCGACCTTCCGTCCCTCGCATCGGCCAGCCTCAGGGTGCTTAAGCTCTCTGGTGTTTACATAAGTGCCAGGGGGGGTTCTGCTCTTGGGGATAACAGAAGCGCCTGCTTCTTTCCAAATCTGGTGCTTCTAGAGGTGAGGGATGTGCGAACCTGGCGTGGAAAACACCTGAAGAAACACCTGGGGAAGCTGGCACGGTTGGGGTCTCTTGTGAGAAATTTCCGCCATGAGCTGCTGCTGCATTGTCCGAACCTCCAGGTCTTGCATTTGGACTCGCTTCCTCGCTCCTCCCCTCTTCCCGTTCTGCCGAAGCTTGAAGCGCTGGTTATCGGCATGTATGTCAACTCGGGGGCTTCTCTCGCGTCTCTCTTGCAGTTTGTTTCGCTACACACCCTCCGCCTCAATGGCATTTTCAACAGCTATGGTGGGATGATGGACGGAACGGTGTCGTGCCCCTGCCCCCCCAATCTCCGAAGGCTGCAGATCTGCGTAGAAGATTTAACATGTCTGCCGCGTTTCATATGGAGGTTCACATCGATAACTCAGCTGGACCTCTTGAATTGCGCCAAGCTGAAGACGCTGCCTGAAAATCTGTACTCAAGTTTTCCTTCTCTTCAGTGCTTGAGAGTGGATGGTGGTGGAATTTACGATAGAAGAAATTAGTATTTTCCTGTATGTAATAATGTGCGGTGGGGTTGAGATTCGGGGAAAATATGCCATTAGTAAGAAACATGGGACTCGATAACATTTCTGGCAAAAAAATTAATGCGTACAGTCACTGTATTGAGTTTCCTGACGGAATGAGAGAGGAAGAAAGGGGATAAGAAAGAGGGAAATAGAGGTCACGAGAGGGGATGCATGAAGATGAGAGGGGATGCATGAAGATGAGAGGGGATGAGAGGGGATGCATGAAGATGAGAGGGGATGAGAGGGGATGAGAGGGGATGCATGAAGATGAGAGGGGATGCATGAAGATGAGAGGGGATGAGAGGGGATGCATGAAGATGAGAGGGGATGAGAGGGGATGCATGAAGATGAGAGAAGATGAGAGGGGATGAGAGGGGATGAGAGGGGATGCATGAAGGTGAGAGGGGACGAGAGGGGATGAGAGGGGATGAGAGGGGATGCATGAAGATGAGAGGGGATGAGAGGGCATGGATGAATGAGGATAGGAGGGAATGAGAGGGGAGGGCAGGAGAGGGGAATGAGAGAGGATGAAGGGGGATAAGAGAGAATGAGAGGGGAATAGAAAGCAGGGGACGGTACAAGAAATGATGCAAGTGACAGGAGAGTGGATGAGCGGGGGTGGAAGGGAATGAAAGGGGAGGAGAGGGAAATGAGCAGGAAAGTGAGGGGCATATATGGCAGGAGAGTGGAAGAGAAAGGATGAAAGGGAATGAGAAGTGAAGCAAGTGAAAGTGAGGGGAATAAAAGGGCAGGATAGGGGACGAGAAAGGATGAAAGGGGGTGAGAGGGGATGAGAGGTGATGAGAGGGATAGTGAGTGGATCAGAGGGCAGGAGAGTGTACGAGAGAGGACGAGAGGTACTGAGAGGAGAGGGCCTGGAGAGGGGGCGAGAGAGGACGAGAGGGGATGAGAGGGAATGAAAGGGGGATAGAAGGCATGTGAGGGTACGGGAAAGGAGGAAAGGGGATGAGAGGGGATGAGTACGGTCGAGAGAGGATGAAAGAGGATGTATGTGGAGAGAGGAATGAGGGCAGAACTCTGAATGGGAGAGGACGAGAGGGGACGAGAAGGATGACTGGGGATGAAAGGGGATTCAAGGGGCTGAAAGGAGAGGAGACGGTATGGGAGGGGAATAGAAGGCAGGAGAGGGATGACAGGGGAAGAATGAGCCTTTAAAGGGGCTGAAAGACGAGGAATAAAGGCCAGGAGAGTGGATGAAAAAGCATGGAAGGGGAAGAGGAGGAATGAGAGAGGATGAGAGTGAACGAGAGGGGAATAGAGGGCAGGAGAGGGGATGAGAGAGGATGGAAGTGGAGGAGAGGGATTGCGAATGGAATAGGGCGTGGAGGGGTGATGGGAGAGGATGGAAGAGGATGAGAGGGAACGAGAGACGAATAGAGTGCAGGACCCGGGATGAGATAGGATGAGAGAGCTGAGAGGGCATGAGAGGGGATGAGAGGGGAATAGAGGGCTGGAGAGGGGACGAGAGGATGAAAGTAGAAGAGAGGGAATGAGAGGGGAATAGAGGGCAGGAGGGAGGACCAAAAGACCTATCATTTTTGCTGACATTGGCTCATCGTGTTACCAGGGGACCAACCCAAGATGATGGGAGTTTAAGGCTCGTTACCGTGAAGACTAGCAAAAACGAACAAAAATGCATTATTAAGACTATTAAAAGACAAGCTCCCAAGGTTTACTCCTCGAGAATGCAACACCAAGAGCGACTCGATCCTGTCAATAACAACATTGTATTTAATAAGGGAGTGCTAAGAAGTCAGGCAACTCAAGAATCACAAGCTGGTTTATGCGCTCAGCACGTCATTACGCTGCCTGATTTTCATCATCGCACAAGGACGTATCCTAAGGGCCCGCGCTCCAAGCCAGGTGGTGAACTCCCAGTGGTCAATGGCAACACTACTCCTCCAGAAGTTCATGCTGGGTCTAAAGCATCAGGGAGCAATGTTGTTAACATAACTTTCAGCAAGGACAAGGCTTTGAAGGAAGCTCTGGCTTGTCAGTGGTGGATAAGCCAGTTGATGACGATGGCTTCATTGAAGACTCCGACAATGAGATGGAAATGGATATGGACATGGAGACTGCGTCCAGGCTGCGTATTACCAACATTCTGCTCATTCCGTTAGTTCTTGCTCAAGAGGTTGCCTGTATGATTGATGCCGCCAAAATGTTGATGAAGCAAGGGTGGAATGCAAAGTTATCAGCTAGAACGTCGGCGAAGTTCCACGAGCTGCAGCCGGCGTATATCGCCAAGACCCGTTACTGCCATTTCCAGATTTACTTCATAATAGAATCTGATGCAGAATGGGTGAAAAGCAAGGAGGTTGTTTATCAGCGACTGAATGGCAACATGGTGAAGCTCCACTAGCAGCACACGGAAGACTCTGCTCCCTCATGCCATTGAATTCATTTTCAAAGGAGTTTCTGCAACCGTGGAGCTGGACATGCTTACTAGAAGGATGGCGGTGTACCAACTGACAAGCCGCCAGAAACTGGCCTTCTTGCGTTGTTCCTGATTCCATCGCGTGCTGCACCCCGTAACCAGTGCTGACACCGACGTCATCAAGGGTCAGGTCTACGCTCACCCTGGTGACAAGCACCGCTGGTTGCATGTGATCTCCGATCTGGCCGACCGCGCGAAGAAGATCTTGGTCCATCACCTCGCGCTATCTTGCACGCTCTGCGGTGGTTAGCATTATGATAAGTATCATGATGCTTTCATCACTAAACGTAGAAATAACGTAGGGAAATAGAACCTCACCCTAGGGAAGGTCCACAGGCTTAACGGTAAAACCCATTCGTATCAGCTTCTTATTGTTTGGCTCTTACCTTTTTCTTCGCTTACTGGTGTGTTGTTTGATACTCACAGTTGCGTCCCTGCTAGCTACCCCGCTAGTCCTCCCCCTCTTGCAAGACCTGACTAAAGCTCTGATTTCAATGGGGAGCATCAGGGAGGAGTGGCTATGCACACACAGGTAGGCTACAAGAAATCCCACGGAAAGTGCTTTATGTCGGCATCAGATCACGACGCCTCCACTGTTCATCTCATCCACCTGGAAAAAATGGGATCAACCACCAAAAGCTCACTAGAGAAGATCAACCTTGCGTTTATCAAGAAAGACTTAGGGATCTGACTAGTACCCTCGCAGTGGTGGCATGATGTTGTTTGGTAGTCAGTGTAGTTTGTATTGTTGCTTCTCTCAACGTGTAGATGCGAAGGGGGTGCTAGTCAGTGGTTAAATGATAAACAAGAGAAACCTTCTCACCTGCGCAAGTTTCAATGTCAACGACTTAGGGTATTGTGCAAAGTAAGACAGGGTTACAGACTAGTTAAAGTATGCGGCAAGCATCGTAGTTTTATCAAACACTAGATTAGATGACACTCACCCATACTGGTTCTCATCGAGATTCATGACACTAGTAGCAGCCACCCCAAGGGCGAAAGTCAGAGGCTTTGCCATCCGTTGTAGATACCCATCCTTAAGCTTCTCCAATACAGCTCACTCATAAGGTAGAATCATACACACGTATTTCAACATTCACGGCATCCAACTCACCCTGCTTGCCGTTTACCTCCCAGTTGATCTTGCCTCCATGATCCCCTTCGTGCTCAACTCCCTCGGCAAGGTAGTAGACGAGGAAGCAGTCATTGCCCCTTGGCCCTTCTCGCCCACCTGCTTATAATTTGTAATCTGAATATGGTGGAAGATCCAGACTTAAATAGAACCTCAGGACATGGAACATCAGAAAAAAATGACAGACTATTTAAAGCCCAGCCCCCGAATTACAAAGAGGCCTTCACAAACTGATGCCGGTTTGTGACTAGCTCCTACTGGTTTCGGGAAAGAAAGGTTTAGGGGAGGTTTTCGAACCTCAGATCTCTGCTTTCCCAAACATGTTTTCCCGCGTTCACTTCCTTTGAGTAATTCGGGTGTTGCCCATTAATCAATGCAGTGCTTTTCAGCTATCAGATGCCCATCGCATCTTATACCCACGGAGTCACAAATATACCTTTTACTCACCGTCACACATCGCACCGGCGGATAAGGTATAAGACCATGGTTTCACGATCTATGTTACGCTTAAGGTGGATGTCAAAGTTTGAGTGGGCCCAAGTATCTAGAGACCAATCGCATCACTGTCAAACATGCTAGGTGTCAGATGGATTATCAAAGAAACTTTGCAAGAAAAAACCATGATGGATGGACGAAGCTATGAGCTGCTCATTTCTAGGATTAACGCGAGAATCCGGGCCTACACGAGGGAAGAAAACAAGCGGGTCCAAGAACATTTCACTCATCAAATGTTGCCAGTCGCGGCGCTGAGGCTAGAGGTATTGGGCAACCCAAGTTGCGACAGGCGGAGGGTTCTCTTGGAGGAGAAGGAGGTGATGCTGAAAGAATACTTGTCAATGAAGCGGGACAGGCTGCACCTTATGGCGGGGTTGGATGCGGAGATTCCTGGTGAAATTTAATCAAAGCAGTTACCAGGAAAGGTCAAGGCGCAAAAAAGCTACACTCAGGTAATGGAAGTCAAGGTTGCTGGAGTTTGTGGTGTTGGATTCAAAGCAAATCCCCGATGCCTCTTCCGATTACTTCAAGGTGATTTTTGGCGAAGAATGGAGATCAGACTTTAGGGACTGGAGCCCAGCTCGTGGCAGAAGATTGCACCCCTAGGACATTGAAGGGCTGGAAAAAGAATGGACAGAAGGGGAGGTGAAGGCAACTTTTGCAACACTGGTGAAAATCAAATCACCAAGCCATGATTGTCTACTGAAGGAGTTTAGGCCAACTGGGATCTCTTGGGGGGAAGTTTCATGGCCTTGGCCAGGGACTTCTCGGGGACTATAGTACTTCCTGGGGAGGTGAAGGGGGTGGTGACAATCCTCCTGCACAAGAAGGGGGAGCCGCTGACTGGCAAAAAGCCCAACCTCACGCTGACGCTTGTGTGGCGCTGCAGGTGCAGTTCATAGTCCCTAAGCAATAATGGGATGGGAAGCTGGCGCCGAAGGCCCGTTGGGGTCTTCACCTCGGTATGTCGCCGGCGGGCAAAGGCTGGGAGGTGCTCGACTTGACCAACAACAAGGTGGTCAAAATGGTCGAGGCGATCTTCTACAAAACCTTGTTGCTGGAGATGTGGAAGGCAGAGTACGGGCCGGTGTCGACAAGGATGCAGAATACCCCGCTAACGGATTCCTCTTTGGTGACAGTCCCACTGCTCGCTGAGGACGGCAAGCCTGATGACGATGATGTCAACGGGAGTTGTGGGTTGGCCCCGTCCTCGCTTGTTCGGAGCCGATTTCGTTGTCGGGTGTGCGGGGAGCGCAACCGACCTGCTGCAGTGGGCGGCGCCGTCATGGGCGCCTGAACGCCGACCTGGGTGTCTGGACGGCGTCCTGGGCGCCTGGACCCCGACCTGGGCGTCTAGACGGCGTCCTGGACGCTGACCTGGGCGTCTGGACGTCGTCATGGGCGCCCATGACGCCGACCTGGTTACCCAGTCGACATAGTTACCCAGGCGACGGGCGTTGCGGGGTGCGCGAGAGTCGCCCAGGAGGTTATTGCGAAGCCGACCTCGGTGTGGTATCCCGAGGTTGACGTGGAGAATCAAGTGCAGTCGTGGGCACATGGTCATCTTGGCGTCTGCGCTGTGCATGTGACGAGGCACATCACGCCAACCAGCTGCGAGCACCTGCGAAGCCGGTGAGCTTCTGTTCTGCAAGTGCAACACTGTGCAGCCGCCTTGCAGTAGCGTTGTCATGCCTTCGACTTGCAGCGTTGGTAGACCGCGAATTTGCACTGTAGGAAGGTGGTTGACTGTGCTGTGCTGACAGTCGACCTGCATGCTTGCTGGCATCTGATGCAGTCCATTGTTGCTTTGCATTGAGTACCATTGTTGTCAATCATTGCTAGTGAAACTCTTGCCAAATTTCCCCGTGAATGTGCAAGTAGTGCGAACACGAGCAAACAACTAAGCAACGCAGAGATCAACCCTAACACCCCGTGCCTTTCCCCGTAGTCCAGCTCCCGTTGTTAGAGTTATCTTTGCATGGTGCGGTGAGCGTGGACGGCACCGCAACGATACCTTTGGTTTAGCCGACTTAGACACGCGTTACCTATTTCGTTCGTAGGCCGGCAGCTGCGTTAGTCACCATGGTTGGTCCCGTAGCTGACGCGGGCATAGTGGATACCTTGGAGACGCGGCTGGAAGATGCGAGGAGACACCACGGGGCTCGCAAGTTCGGGACGGCCCTCCCCTTGGAGGTCGTCGAGCTGGGCATCCGTGCCAAGTGGGCGTCGGAGCACCCTTCCCGACCTGTTTCTCCTCGACCGGTGAACGAAGGCGGCGTCGGCGAGGGCTCCGGCAGCGGCGACCAAGTCGGCAACAGTGTGCGAGGCACATCGAGGCAAAGAGGGGTGTTCCGGACGGCCGACATTGAAGTCAGCGGCGTTCAAGCGCGAGGGCTGCAGTCGTCGGCGGCTGCGGGCTCCTTGCAAGGCGACGTCAGTGGACGTCGAAGCAGTGTGACGCCGGCGTCGGCGACCCATGTGACT